AGGGCCCAGGCCTGCAGTATTGACACCATGCTCCTTCCCAAACTCCTGACATCTATGGGGCCATTTGTACTCATTGTTCACCTAGTATTTTTCTTTACATTTCTCACTCCCCTGCCCCTTTCACTTGTCTCTAGCACCCATATTCACAAAATCATGAAGCATATATGCTTTTTCTAAAACACGTTAAAATAATCACATAAATACTTGAGTAAAAAGTAGTCTTCCAKGTACCACTTCAAATTGCCTTGCTCATGTGAACTCTATTCTGGAAACCCTGGCTGGTTTAATGGGCTTCTCAATCATCTGGAGAAGCAAGGCTTAGAGACAAGATCTACCCTACCCGAGGACMCACAGCAAGTATCAGWGCCAGCGCCAGGGCCAGGGTTCCTRAGTCCCAGCTTGGAGCCTTGACCCTTCATGTCCCCATTGATGCAGTAATCTGAGGAGCCCCTAAACCTCCAGAGCTSAGCACCTTCAGGGCCTGCCTCTAACCTGCTCTATACTCAGCTCCTTGCCCCGGGAGGGAAGACCAGGGGCTGCAGGGCCTTCTGCCAGCTGAGGGGGCTCCAGGAGAGCTTACCCCTGGGAAGCTCAGAGTTGAAGCTCAACAAAGGTGGGGTATAGCTGAGGGACAGGGGTTCTGGAGTGTACGGGACCCTGATAAAGGTGAGCAGGAGGACTCTGCTGAACTCACAGGGCCTTGACGGATGGGTGGGACGCTAYGCCATGACAGTGTCATCGTGCTAGTGTCATAGTGCTGTGGGTAAGATCAGCCAGCCCTGGCTGGRTGCCTCCAGTGAGGGCTGCTGAAATAGTCTTTGACACTTTAACATGTTCCTTACAACAGTCCCGCGTGCAGCTAGTTGGCATCCCCGTTTTGYAGCAAGGAAGGGGGAGACGAGTAGGGTTAAACCTGACTCAGTGCTGCTGAGCTAKTAAGGAACAGTTAGGGTTCATGCCCGGCTGCTGGGCTGAGCTTGGGGTCTAGCCACCCCCCTTGCTTCCCTGAGTGGAGGCCTGGCCTTCTTGGGGAGCATCTGCCCGCCCCCTACCTGGCAGCCATCATCTGATGAGCACTTACTCCAGGCCTGGGCCACGGTACTGACAGACAAGGGGACTGGCTCAGAGTGGCTAAGGGGCTGCCAAAGGGCTCAGCTGGGCTGGGAACTTAGGCCGATGCTGGCTTTCGGGCGCCCACACTGTCTGTTTACTCCACCTACTGACTCCCGGAGCCTGTAGGAGGTGCTGTGCTGCCAAAAGCAACTGTCATAGCAGTCACCAAGCCTGGGCTGGGGCTCCCTYTTCCAGGCCTTCAGCTACTTCTTGCAACTCTGCTCTCCCCTGGCCCTGCCACACCAAGCAGGGATGGAAGCGGGGAGCTGGTGAGAAGCCTGGGCCAGCTCTGTTCCAGGCCTAAACGAAAGCCTCAGAGGGCAGCACAGGACCAGTGGCCTGCCTAGACCAAAGACCCAGCACCCACCTAGTAAGCATGTAATTGTAGGGACATCTAATTGCCCCTCTTCCGAGGGCTTGCGGTAACTCCTTCCGACTGGTTCTGGACCAAAGCCAAAGAGGCAGGCAGATCATGGCCTTGAGGCCTGTTAGTCTTCAATAAAACAGTGGTGCCTTAGGAGTTAGGGGCCCCAGGAAGTTCTGAAAGAGGAAGTGATGTGGTCAGGTTAAGGGCAAGGTCTCTAGGGGTTCCTAACAAAAACTGCAATATCGGGAGTGAGAATTGCCCAAGGCTTGTGCTGGGGYAGTGACAGTATGGGGCAGGGGAGGAGAGAGATTCCAGAACTATTTGGAAGAAGAGTTAGTGGGACTTAGTGAGTGGCTAGATGTTGACAGGTACAGACAGGGAAAAACTGAGAAAGGATGGCTCCGTGTTTCTGACTGGAACAGCTTGGTGGGTGACGAGGCTGCCAACCAAGGTAAAGAACATAACAGGAGCTGACCGGGGACAAAGGGAGCAGGCTGTGGGGCTCTCAGGGGGACTGTCCAATGGAGAGCCAGAGAGACACATCTGGGGCACTGGGTCAGGCCTGCACTATAGACAGAGTCTGGAATGAACACCACGAAGCAACAAAAGAGAACAAACTCCCAGGGAGAGTATTTTGATGTTAAATTTCAGATTGAGCCAACCAGGCTAAGAAAGGAAGTCTGGGAAATAGCAATGTTCAGCAAGTGATGGCTGGTCAGAAAGAGCATGGGGGCCCGAAGGCCAAAACCACAGAGGCGAAGCTAAGGGAGAAGGCTCAGCAGTAAAATATAGCAGAGAGGTTCCGACAGATGAGAACCAGAGACATCCTCTGTGACTGGCAATTGCAGAGCCATCTGTGACCTTGCTGAGAACTGTTTTAGTGGCGCACAGAGGGTGAGGTCAAGCTGCAGAGGGCATGGGTGAGTGAGTGGGAATGGATGGTGGAGGGCGTGGGGACAGGGAAGGGACACTCTGTAGCTGCAGCTGGGTGTGGAGCCCTAGAAGATTCTTTTCAGGGCAGGAGACTTGAGCATGTTAATAGGCTGAGGATGGGGTGGGGAATGGGGTGAGGTTAAAGAGATGATGGTGATCCAGGGACTACCATGGGAGAGTGGGTTTGTTTTGGGCAGGAGAGACACATTATTGCCAAGACCATAGCAAAATTGGTCATGAATGTGAATGACAAATTTGCAGACAGGGGTAAGGAAATTGAGGTCACACCTACAGGGCCTCTTTTCTTGAAGTAGTATGCAAGATGTTCTAGGATGGGGTGAAGAGAAAATACTGGAAAGTTTCCCAGTAGTCTTGAAAGTGAACCTCAAGAAATGGTGAATGGCCCCATGGGGGGTGGGGCATGTCCCCACTCAGCCTCTTATAGCAGCCCTGAGTAGCCCAGGGAGGACTAGAGAAGTCAGGCTGGGCTGGGTTGGGGTTCTGCTGGCAAGAGCACAAGGGAGATGGAATCGGTCTGGGTGAGAGGAAGTGAGCTGCTTCTACCCCTCGATTCGATTCTCTTTCGTTTAGGAAGAGGGCAGCGTGCTGGCTTCTAAATCCCAGTTTTCAGGTTCTGATTATCAAGGCCAAACTCAACCATTTATTTTTCCTGGTGGGACTAATCCACTGYACAACATCATGGCGGCCAGTTTGCTGAGAGATAAAGGATTTCTGAGTGTGACACTAAAGTTATGTTCTTCTGCCATGGACAAAGAATGCTACTTTTGATTTTTCCATYACTGGACACAGAGGTTCTAATCTCTGTTCCAGCTGAATAACTGAGAGATCACTACCTTTTCTTCTGGGGACTCCCTGTTCCTTCATTATTCACAGAAAGAAAACATGTTGTGCTCTGGGATCCATGTCTGAAAATTCAGGCTTTGGTGTGTGAAGTTGGAACCCATTTAGATGTGTGGTTACTAGTAGTATCTTATGTAAAGGGAACACTCATTCCTAATATTTTGTGGATTTGCATATACCAAGCTTATTTAGATTTGGGTTAATTTATAGTTAGCAGTAGTTTTTCTTCAAACCAAATCTTTAAAACTACAAAGCCTGGCTGGATCTCTGAACAACTTACCCAAGACCCAGAGCATATCACATCCTGACTTGAAAAGATGCAATGGCCTACTGCAGCTGCCAAAGCCACATCTGTCCCTCATAGGTACTAAGAAAATGTCAGGCAGATGAACAGAGTAGAAATGTAACTAGTACTGGTCCCTCTGTCCCAGCCATGCATTTATGAGATGTGTCTTTGGATAACCCCATCACAAAGCTCAGGCCACCTAAACACACTTGTTCAGGATCCCACGATCGGCTTGGTGCCCCCTCAGCTGTATCCCTTACTTGCATTCAATGCCAACTCCAAGGTCTCTGCTCCTCCTAAGCCCCACCTGCACACCATTCTGCTCCTACCCCCTCTAGCACCTTACTTGGCTCTGAATGTGGGCAAACCATGGCAAACCGAAACCTCACAAGTTCTCTGGCATCCCACCCCTCACCAAAAACCCAGCATGTCTCCACACAAAGGTTTTCAATCTATGTCCCCATGGACTACCTTCTATAACAAACTCTGGTCCCACCAGACTGTCTCTGTAGGTCCCTGTTTCTGTCCAGGTCTTTGAGGCCCTCTCTAGAAGGTGCTAACACTTCCTTCTGGGCTGCCTACTCCCACCCCTCTCCCAAYACCTGCTAGTTTTCATCTGGGGACACTTTGCAGTGAGTGCCATTTACTGTCTTAAGTGCATGAAGATGACAGCAGGCACTGTGCAGAGCAGAGAACTCTCCCCACAAGAGGAAGCCAACAAAATCTCAGGACATGCCAGGTGTGGTGGCACACACCTGTAATCCCAGCAGCTCAGGAGGCCGAGGCAGGAGGAGCACAGGTTCAAAGCTAGCCTCAGCAACTTAACGAGGCTGTAAGCAACCTAGTGAGACCCTGTCTCAAAATAAAAAGGGCTAGAGATGTGGCTCAGTGGTTAAGTGCCCRTAGGTTCAATCCCTAGTACCAATCTCAACCCAAAAATTCCTCAGCAGTGAAGGAGCCCAAGGGTGGCAGCACTCCAGCCTACTAGTCTTTTCCCTTAGGAGGTGAAAGGGCTTTCCACTGAGCCCTGGGCTCTGCCTGAGTCCTACATGGCTCAGCCACAGTTACTGGGCCTTTTGGATTGGACCTACCAAGGACAAAGTTTTCTGTCCCCCTCTCTGGGATCCCATCCTTACAGGTGAAACACTACGTTCCCCAAATCTCTTAAAATCCAGAAAACAAGAGAAATAAAACAATTTAATGATGGCTTCCTTGATGTACASACAACTCTAAGACAACAGAGGGACAAAGTTTCTCTCCATGCACTGGGACAATGAAATTCAGGGACAACTGGCAATCCAAGGATAGGAGTTTTGGTATTAAAGTCCACTGTCGGGCTCAACAACTGCAGACACTGGGGAGGGCTGAGAGCCTGCCCGGACTCCTGGTGTGGAGCGGGGAGGCAGGCTGCAGAGCAGGCAGGCTGCAGGGCACCAGGATGCACGGGCACCGCCATGCATCCGGGACAAGGAGGCCAGGGAGAAGGAGCCAAGCTTCCAGAATGCCCTGAAGACCTCTGTGAGCTCAGTGGCACGGGCTCGCCCACCAGTGCCGATCCTGAGGGCTGGGGCCAGCTAGGCCAGGGCAGAGGTACCGGGGCTGGAAGGGAGGTGGGAGGAAGAGCCGCAGCAGACAGGAGCACCCGCAGAATGCTGGGTCCTGCTCCCTCCCAAACACTGAGTTCTTGATGACACAGCTTCATCTTGCAAAGGGCAATGACATCTCCATGATGTGGAGCTGGAAGGGGTAGCAAAGGTGGAGCCAAGAGGGACAGATGCCACCCAACCCTGAGGCCACCTTGGATATTCTCCATTCCTTTCTGGACTTCCTTCCCCCTGCCCCTCTAGCCCAAAGATCCGAGGAGACAAGAGATCAGAGACCCCATCACAGTCCCTAATTAACACGGTCAGGTATAACATTTCCAAACAGGGAGACAGGGGAAAATGCCATGAGCTTTTACAGGGAAGACCCAGGGAAGACTGGCTGAGGCAAAAGAGGAAGCGGCCCCCGGCTCCTTCCAACTCTGGAAGTTGGCAGCCACGGCCTGGGTCCTTGACTTGACCGTGCTGCCCCTCTAGCTGAGCATCTTGTGCCGATCGAAAACTGTCTTCCGCTGCTCCTGCACCTGCAGCTTCCACCGCTGCTGAGCACCCTCCACACGCTCCAGGACGGTGTTTGCTCGGGGGCCACTGAGGGATGCAGCAGCCGCTGCCAGGGACCGAGCATCCTGTAGTGGGAACAAAAAGATGATTAACCAGAGGGTCTGGGCCCTCGAAAGCCTGCCACGGACTGAACRTACCATGAGCAATCCTAAAGCCTGCACTCCCAGGGGCTGTGGGTTCCTGAGGACCTTGCTTTGTCACCTACAGAAACTCATGCAGCAKGTCTGGCCTGCTGGAGGCCTTAGTGTCTGTAGATCTGCAAGATGGGGAACCCTGCTTCTCCTGAGCCAGAAGGAGCGTGTTCTGCAGCTTCAACACAAGCTAGTTCAAGTCAGGCTCCCAGCCGGAACCCCACAGGCCCAACTCGCAAGAGGAATACTAAATGTTGGCCTTGAGACCCCAGWGACCATGCAACCTGGTCACTGCAGAAACCCCTGCCCTGCCCTGTTGCCCAGGGAATGGCAGATGGGGGGAGGGGCCTCCTGAGAAAACTGAAGAGCAAAGACTGCAGCATCTGGGAAGGGGACACAGCACATCAAACTTACCTTCCCTAAGAAAAAGGGGATGTGACGTCAATCAGAGAGTCTGGCAGAGATGGAAATTTGGGGCTTACATCTAGTATTTCTATCCAGGGCCTGCTGTGACCTGCTCCCTCCTAACGGCCACAGACATTCCCCCTAATGGCACCTTCCCTGACAGCTCCCGGTGCTCCCCCTGCCCCTGTGCTCTTAGACCTGTTTCTGTCATCAAAAGCCCTCCCCTAATTACCGCTTCTCTATCTCTGAAGCTCCAGAGCCCATGCATTTCCTGCAGGACCCGAACCTGATCTTTGGGGGGAATTAGAGCCCAGGGCCAGGCCCAGAGCCCATGGGGATTTCCTCCCTAGCTCTCCCTGCCTCTCATCTCCTGCCATACATCTCTTAAGGGATTAGCGCACCCCTCTAAGCCCAGRGCCGCCCAGTAAATGCAACTTTGCTTTTAATGCCCTGAGCTGGCACAGCTTCTATCACCACACAGCTGCCAGGCTGGGGAGAAGGGAGGGATTGTGAGGGGTGAGGTGAGGGGAGGGGCAGCAGAGATGGGCTAGCGGTGCAGAGAGGTGGCTGTTTAGAGAAGGGGCTGGGAGTTCACCATCCTGATCACTGGGATCCGAGAAAGCTGTCTCAYGCACATTCATTTCTAGGGCAACTTAGAGTTGGACACTGCCCTCTGGGTACCCCCGACTCTGATAAAGATTCTCAKAAGGCTGGTGAGGCTCAGGAAATGCCTGATGGGCAGGTGCTGGAGCTTGGAATCAGGATGCCTGGATTCTGTGCTGGGACCAACCTCAAACTCTCCTGGGCCCATCTCCCAGGTGGAAGCACAGGTCCATTCTCGGCAGGTAGAGGAGGAGGTGTGGCCTCGGGCCACTTGGCAGTGAGGTCCCTGGGCAAGTCACTTCATTTCTCCAAGCTTCAGCATAATAAACCTAGTCTTTGAGATTCCTTCCTCCTGTGCTGTCACTCAGAATGCTCTTTACCTGATGATCTAGTAGACCCATGCACACGGAGGAAAAACACTTCCCCAAACTGTACTGACTATGATGTTCTCATATTCTCTGCTCTATTTCATTTCATTTTTTAAAAATTCTGGTCATGACTCCCAAGATTCATTTKGTAATCTAATGGATCGTGACCCATGGTCTGAAAAACTCTGGTTTATGATTAGTGGCCAGGTACAGCAAAGGTCAGTACGTATGACAAGCACTCGGTAAACTACAGTCCCAGAGTAGTAGTTCAGAAATGTCCGGTTTCCTTCTGCCTTGGCAGTTTAGCCCAATGGTCAGGAAGGCTTTGGAATCAAACAAATCTGGCTTTGACTCTTGGCTCTGACCCTACCAGATACACGACTGTTGGGCAAGTGACCTTACTCTGAACCACCCGCCTGCCCACAGGCAGAGACTCAGCTTCTTAGTGAGACAATAAATGTGGAGCTGTTGGCAGTGCCTGTCTGCAGCAAGCATTCACCAAGGGCAGCAGTGGTCAGTCAGACCCCAGATCCAGGATCCACTTAGGTATGCAAAGGGCTAGAAAGTGGCTGCCATACCATCTCCCAACTCTGCTCTTCCCAGCTCAGCCGCACCCCTGAGCAGGCTACGCTGCGGACAGCCCCACCCAGTTTCAATTCTGCATGGCTGCTGGGATGAAGTGGGCCCRGAAGACCCCAGACTAGGAAGCTACTGGCTCACCAGGATTTGGCCAATTTGGCTCAGGGGCCCACAGGGGCTTCTCTTCTGCCTGATTCCCAGTCTCATCCATTCTGAGACCAGTGACTCATGTCAGGGCCTTGTCAGGGTGCCTGAATGTGAGCTGGGGAGGCCTGGGCTGGGGTCCTTGGGGGCTGGCCAAGAAGGGTTGGAAAAGTGTCAGTCATGCCTGCCCTCCTTCCGAGGCTCCGCTCAAGAGTGTCTGGAGGAGCAGAAGCCAGGGAGAGCCAAGAGCAGAGCATTAAAGGAACAGGCTGCAACTCACCGCATTACCACAGCGTCATTTGTCAGCCCTTCATGTAAAGTCTTAGCAAACAGCTCCTAAGTGGAGGAAGCTGCTGCTGAGAGGCTCCGTGTTCCCAGTGCTAATAATCTGATTAAAAGGTATTAGAGACTCCACATCTGTTCTCAAGACGGCCCAGAGCAGGGCCGCCATCGCTGCCTCCTCTACAGAGCAATGGGGTGGAGGCAGGGAAAGGCCACCAGTCTCTACCCTTGTCCCTCAGAGGCTGAGTCTCTGGGGAACTCAGGGGGACAGAGGGAAGTTAGAAGAGTGGGTAGGTGGAGCTCCTGCYAATCAAGTGGGAGCAGCTAAGGTCTTCAAGGGACTAGTATGACTGAGGCTAGGCCACTATGTACCAGGCACKATATATGATTACTCCCAGGCTTAAGCACCGGCAGATGGGTAATATCATTCCCATCCTAAGGATGAGGAAACGAGGCTCTGAAGGAGAAATACTCTTGCTACCCAAGATCATAATGCTGTTCAGGACCAAGTTAGGACTTGTACCCATGTCTGCATATCTCTTATCCTAAGGCTCAACTGTGTCCTTCTTTGGCTGATTTTTCATAAGAGGGGACCACCATGGATACCCAAAGAGGAGGGCTGGTCCCCCACCACCCTGCCCCCATCAAGGGTTACAGCAAGAACAAGGCGCCTGTGCAGGAACCAGGGACTGGGAATTGAAGCAGGTCTTCGTCTCCAAGCAGGGGGACACTGGTACCTGTGCGGGTAAGCCTGACCTGAAAACACTGTCGCAGGTGCACCCTCTGCAGCCCGCCAGAARCCCTGGCTCTCAGTCGGGCCTGTTTCCCTGAAGCAGATGAAGGGAGAGACAGGATCCGCCCCCTTTGCTGCCTCCCCTTCCYATTCCCAACCTACCCAGCCAGATAGTGAGGAAGGACCCTCAGTCAAGCCCTCTGCAAAGATGATTAGAGTCTCCCTGCACTTTACAAATTTAACCCAAACCTACCCTACCAGCCAACCAAACAAATCATGCCACTCCCCTGCTCGACACTGGGCCGGAAACCAGCTACTCACAGGTAAATCGCTCCTAACCACAGAACCCAGACCCCTGAGCTGGCTGAGCCCATTCCCACCTCACCATCCACATGTGGCCCTGTTCATCAGTCACACTGGCCTGCACYCTTTTTCCACCCTCAGTGGCCACTTCACTTCTGACCTCACCCCTGTGCTGCCCCTTGGCCTCCCCTCCAACAACCAGGAGGCTACTTACACGTTAAGACTCGAATGAAATACCTCATTGTTAAGGATGAAAAAGCAATTGTAAAGCTTCCCTGCACATCCCACAACAGTCTTGTTGAGGGGAGAACGATCTATTACCTCCACTCCATGGCTGGAAAAAAAACCATGAGGTCAGCGCCGAGGTCAGCGCCAAGGACAATGAGTGGACAGCTGGAACTCCAAGCCAGGCCTAGGATGTCACAGCCCTGCCCTGAACTACTTAGTGTGCTGTGTGTGCTGCTCCACCCCCGCCCCCCCACCAAATGTTCTAGGAATGTCTGTTGAATGGCACACCTTTTTATTCTYTCCAGGGGGAGAGACCTTATCAATGGCCCTCACTGATGCGTGTCTTCTCCATGATTCACTCCAAGAGTGGCCCTGGCCTTCTCTTCTCCCAGGCCCTACGTGTTCCCAGTTCCCTTGGTTCTCATAGTCCTTCCAACTCCCCTACACACCCCTCTCCCACAGGGGCCAGAACTATACCCACTGCCCAGCTAGGCCAAGACCTTTGAGGACCCTGTGCRAGCTCAGCGGCCCATGCTGGGAGTGGCGGAGACAGTTAGAGCTGCAGACAAACCCTCGTTTTTCTCTTCAAAGAGGGCCAGACCTATACATCTAAAACAGCTCTGTTGCCGTTTCTATCCCAGCAAACATGCTGGCTTCCTCCTTTCAAAGGGCGTCTGAGCCCAGGGATTAGGCCTAATGCTTCTGGAATCCCAGGGGAGGCAGTGCCCAGCACTCAGGCCCACTGAGGCTCTGCCAGCCGTTCAAAGGGAGCATGACAAGCTTTCATCTCCCGCCACAGCCTTGGGCTGAGCTGTGGGGGAAGACTCCCCTTCCTCTTCCAGTCCTCTAGCCCCCTGATGAAAGCTCCTGGTCACAGGAATTGGGGGGATGGAGTTGAGGGGCCCCAATCCTGAGAAATACTCTGGTCTTCAGCTCTGGGTCCCGGGTTCCTGAGAGAGGGGCTGGAAGCCGCTGGAGCCTAAAAGCCTTCCTTCTAAAGTCACCCAGTTGTCTAGACCTACACAACCTCTAAAGGAACTTCAAGAAGCCAGGTTCCCACTTTTCTTCTCTTGGGATGTGGCCCAGGGAAGCCTGGCCTTTTTTGTCACCTTCTTGGGTAATACTCTCCAGCCCAGAGACATGGCCACAGCCCTGGCTTTGCTGTTGCCCAGTTGGGGCGTCCTTGGGACTTCCCTCCCTGCTTCCCAACCCCGCACATCCCTTTCCTCACGGGTGCTGGGGCTGGGGGCAGCAGACAATCCCTCACTGTCCAGGACTAAGTTGTTGGGTATCTGTAGGGATGAGGTTGGTCCCTGGGCCTCTCTAGCCAATGCCCTTCCATCCACCTTGCAGCAGCTTAGCACGCCTCCCACCCACCTGAGCTGGCCCTGAAAGTCCCCTTCTGCCAAGAACCTTCCTTCCATGAYTAACATGAAGAGAAAGACCTAGGAAAGGGGACCCTCCTAGAACAGCCAGTTTCTTCACCTGACCATCATGTCAACAAGCCAGATCTTACTGATGGCCTCCATGTTCCCTAATTGCCTGGATTGGGTTGCTCTGGGACTGAATCCCTGAGGGCTGACATGGGTATGTGTCAATCAGATCCCTGCGGGGTCTGAACGCAGCAGGAGAGGATCGGAACTGCTGAGCACAGGACCTACAACTAGGACACCACACAGAATCAGGAGGCGAGGGATGGAAGGCGATGCCAGATAATGGGGTTAGAGGACCCCTGATGATATCCATCTTTCCTGGACCTTGCATTAGTGCTGGACTGGCCAGAGCTGGCTCCGCCTCGGGTCAGACAGAAACTGAAGACAATATTGATGATCTTCCGACCTTGGGGTGAGAGGCAAGGGTGTTATTCTGAGGGCAGGAGTCACCTCTACAGGTGGGGCACAGGCTCACCAGCCCTGACTTGAGTGCTGCCTGTGACAGCCCGGTGCGCTCAGGGGCACCCCTTATACATGGCTGGATGGTGACCTTAGAGAGCCCTCTTTCCTACCCAGCCAAAACTGTGCCCAGGCGATATCCACCCTCTGATTCAGGTCCCACCTCTGGGAACTGGACTGACCAAATCTAACCCCTTCTTCCTCCCCAAGGTCCCCCCACAGACAGATTCCAAGTGGGGAACACCAGGTCTCTTGTAGGAAAGACCTGGGCTCAGACCCACAGACGGCAAGCTGCCCTTCCCCTGGCTCCATATCTAAGATGGCAGGAGACACAAAAAGGCCGTGCCCGAGAGCCACACATTCCAGGGAAATCGTAGCCTGGGCTATGTAATCATCGGCTGCATCTCTCAATTACTCCCTGGCCAGGGCTGCAATTACCACATTACCCCTAATCGCCCAGTGTTTATTAGTGATGCTCCTCCCCCCTCAGAGCTGCTATTACTCTACATTAATAACTGGGTGGGCAGGCAACCTTCCTCTCCAACACAGACCACCCAACTGCCAGCCCCACCACGTCCCAGGCCCCAGCTCCAGCGGGGCCAGGCYCATCACCTCTGTTCCACCTTTAGCCAAATTCATGCCAGCAGGAGGCTGGGGGCAGATTGGGAATAGACCCATACTCAGAAGCAGCAGGGCCACTAGGAGTGGCCAGGCTTCCCTGTCTCCCTGCCTGACCCACCCATGCTGACCCTCATGAGATCACCTTGGCAGCTTGGCAGCTTGGCACAGACTTGAGCCCCCAGATCCTCTTTTTGGTGGGGAACCTGCCTCTAATCCAAGTCTTGAAAAGCTCTGAACTGGGGCTGCCCAGGGGGCAGTTTGGCCTAGCCTGGAACCCATGGTGACCCATACCTTACCACCTTACAAGGGAGCCTGCTCACAGTACTGTCTGCAAGGAGAATCCTTCTTACATTGTCATGTCAAATCTCCTTCCCCAACTCCCATCTTTGGGGTCTTCTGTTCCCAGGGGAAGGTCAAGTTCTACTCTACAAACACCTAAGGCATGTGCCTTCTTGAGTTTGTTTTTTTCTTCACCAAGTTAAACATCTCCCAGTTTCTTCAACTAAATCCCCCAGGACATGACTGAGGCACTTCCCCTCTAGGTGTTCCTGTGGACATGGGAGCAAGCTCACCACTACACCCACCGCACCAACAGSTGTGTTCCACCAGCAAGGTCCTAGGGACAAACCTCAGAGACAGTCTGGAGACAGGGTTGGCAGGCTGCCTGGCATCAGTGCTTCCCCATATTCTTTGTCATATAAAGTTGACCTCTGAGACCTTTATTAATCTGACCTAAACTCCCTAGCCAGCTCCACCTACCACTATGCCTAGATACCCACCTTATTTTGGGATGATCAAATTCCTCACATGTGCACGCGTCGATGGCACTGCCACCCAACTCCACCGACTCTAGAGCTCCTAGGACTGAGGTTTGCACTGAGTACTCAACAGATATTTGTGAAATCACCAAACCAAAGGATAAACCTGATGCCTCCAAGGCCACCACTGACTTGTCACCAATGCCTGAGCTAGCAAGATACCATGTGTATCTACGTGTGACAGGCCCTGGTCGATTTACTTCCACTGTGCCTAGAAAGAGTATGACACGGAGCTAAGGCTCCCCCAGCTTGTACACCGAGGCTGGTTGGTGCCACATGTCAGGAAAAGTTGGGGCTATCTCCTGCTTCATCTGGGAGGGCAAAGGGCAGTTCCTTGCTTGAGTCTGGGTGATGTATAGGAAAATGGGCAGGAGAAGAGCATGGGGGAGCAGAGGGAAGCAGGTAGACCCTGATTCCCACCAGGTGCAGAGGAGGCTCTCTGGGTTGTCCTGGGGACTTGTGTGGGCAAGTCCAGGGCCTCATTTACCTCATTCTCCTCTTCATTGTGCAGTTGTTCTGTGTAAGCATCTGGTTTTCGAATCAGAGGGTCCACCAGCATCAGGAAGGCCATGTACAGCAAAAGGGCCCCCACCACAGACAGGTAGATGACAATGATGACCTGAGGAAGAGACCCGGCTTATGCTGTGAAATAACACCCAGGGCCAGGGGAGTCACGGGCCATCTGTGCTTGGCTGCCAGCAACTCCTCCACTGTTGCACTGGGAAGACTGGGAAGTGGCATGGGCCTAGAGGGCAGGAGGGCCACGAAGGACAAGGGACAGCCCCTGCCACAGGGAGCCCCACAGCAGGGAACTCTGGAGGTATAAAGATACTTCTACCCTCAGGTAGAGGGTTAGGCAGTGGTGCCCTCGCAGCATGAGGTCCCTTCCTTGCCAAATAGGAGAGGCAACATCTGGCTCTGAAATAAAAGTCTCAGGCATCTGGTTCCCAGTAAGTGAGGCCCACTGGAGCAAGTTCAGAGACAGAAAGGGGAAGCTCCAGGAGAGGAGTACAAAAGGTGTGTGGCCTGGATGACTGGACAGGGTGACAGCTACTTTCTCCTTATAAAACAGGAAGAGGCTGTGGCTCCCTGAAGCAAGTAAAGGGGGTTGAAGACCACTCCCACTCCAACATGCCTCAAAAGTAGGAGGCTGAGGGAGGACTCAGCAATGTCTTTAAACTCATGAGAGTTATTTTCTGATGCTATCTAGAATTGTCATGAAAGCTTCAAAAAGGAAAGGTGACTTCATGGCCTCTATGAGATGGGATRTGGTCAAGTCCTACCTGGTGGCAGAGGAATGTGGTGTCCTTCCTCATTCTCTATGGTGGCACAGGTGAAGTCTACCACTTTTTTCCTGAATTCACCCAAATATTTACTGAAAACAGGGCTCAGGAAAAAAACAAAAAAGCCCAGGTTCTGGTACTGGCACCCGGCACCCAGCACTGGCCACAGATCTAAGGTTTTATTAGAGGAGTCTGAAGTCACTTTGGAAGTCTGATGAGACCCTAAGCTCTGAGAAGGCAGCTTTACTCCCAGCATGGTGTATGGGGCCCAGAACACAGCAGACATCCAAAAAAGATGTACTGAACAAGCTGGGCATGATGACTCACGCCTGTAATCCTAGCAGCTCAGGAGGCTGAGGCAGGAGGATCACAAGTTCACAATGAGGATCAGCCTCATTAATGTAATTAAAAAAGGGCTGGGGATGTGGCTCAGTCATTATTATTAATTTTTTTTAGAAATGAATTAAATAAATGGAAGCGAGAGGAACAATAAAACTGGAAAGAATGGAAGGGGAAGGGGAGACTCCAGCTGCTCTCCCAGGATACTCTCATCTGTCATTGTGTGGGAGCCACTAGAAAGATGTTGGAGAGGAGAGCCAGCTCCAAAGATGTGCGAAGTTGAGACTCTGTGTCTGTAYGAGGGCCCAGAAGCCAGTCCCACTCGCCACTTGGAATGTTCCAGAATAAAGCAAAAACTATGCACATAGAACAGTTAGGGGCAGGGCTCCCCGGGCCCCGGAGGTACCTTGATGGTGGTCGTGCTGCGCTCCTCGTACTTGCACTCACACAGCAGGCAGTAGGCCTCCACGTCGTGGCCGGGCACGGGCATGGGCTCCACCACGTGCAGGCAGTTGCTGGAACACAGACAGGGCGGTAAGGTGGGGCCGTGGGAAGCCCCCACAGTCCCAGGGCAGGAGGCAGGCAGCCAGCGGAACTAAGGGATAGGGTGGGCATAGGTGAAGGGTGCTCCCAGGGAGGGCAGAGGGCTTACAAAGGGCCAGGCTGGCAGAAGCCCCTTCCCAGTCCCTAGCCTCATGGGCCCCACCACCAGGGCCAGTTATCTAAACTGTATCTTCAGACCAGCAACAAAACCCATCATTGCTCCCCAACGCTCTGCCCAGCTGCCCTCTCCTCCCATGCTATGCTGTCCCTGGTGGCTTCATCATTTGTCCAAGGTTTCTACTCCAAAGTTGATGTTTCTTAGATTAGGATCTCTAACCAGGCCCCGGATCCTCTAAGCTGGACAATATTGCCAACAATCAGAGGATGTGCTGTTTAGTGTCCCAGAGGGGCCATACACTCCACACTCAGCCTGTGTACTCTTTGCCCCTAGGTCCCCAGGCCTCCATGCTGGCTCTGTGGTCTGTTTCCAGTGGCAGAGGGGATAGCTCTAGCATTCACCCTGCTGACCAAATCATGCCCCCTGAATCACCTTCAACAACATTTTTGCCCCCACCCATAAATTCACCAAATGCCAGCAATTTTACTTCCTTAAAAATTCCTAAAATCATGGAATAAAGAAAGAAAAAATAAATAATAAAAAATAAAAAAACAAAGAATGGAAAAAACTTTTTCCACTCTCTCCCAGTGCTGTGTCCCAGCCAAGGCCCTCATCATCATGCCCTTGGACAACTGCCCAGCCTCCCTACTGCTCTCCTACCTCTAGTTTGGCCTTGCCCAATACTACCTTGACAGGGCAGCTGAGTAACTGTACCAAAATGGAACTCCTGTCAAGTCAGCTTTCAACCAGCCAATGCCTCCATAGCAAGGGCTGACAAAACTGTCCTGCCAGTSCTGGTCCCCTCACCTGCCCAGCTACCCATGCCACTCCCAGACCCACTCCCCACCCTCCAGCCAGCTGACCTGCTGGACTCTTCTCTGTGCAGCCACATCCCACGCCCCCACCAGGAACACAAATCTTTGCCTATCTCCTCTGACACTCTGCTTCAGCTAAAAGGTCTGAATTCTGTCCCCAGTCAGTTCCCCATCTCAACCATGAACCTGGCCACACCACCCTGTCTTCACTTGTACTGTCTTGCCCAGTGGACATGAAGTCCCTTAGAAGAAGGGTCACATCTTACTCATYTCCATACTCCCTGTGTGCTGGCCATGGTGCTGGCCAGAGCAGGGCTGTGATCAAGTGACTGCCAGATGTATACATTGCCACCCATTGTCACCTAGCATTGATCCTCAATGAATAGGGGTCGGGGTGCTAAGATTAYAGGCCTCAAACTGAGGAAGCGGGCTCAGGACAGCAAGGTGGCAGCTCTTCATCAAGATGGAAAGGCRGGGACCCCAGTCCAGATCCTGGGCCGCAACATCCTGGCAGCTGACTCAGCCTGGGTGGGGCCTGTGCCTGTGCTGGGCTCTGCACCTAGCCTCTTKTTTCCAGCCTTCCCTGGATCAGCAGGTTTCTGACTTGCTTGGTCCATAGACCACAGTGAACAAGCAAAAGGCCCCACAGAAACACCACTACAAAAATCAAACAAAACCTGCAGAGGATCACAGAAGTGGGCCAGGCATCAGCCTGCAATAGGCGCCTGGGCCTGGGCTCAACTCTGACTCTGCCACTAAGTGTCTGCCCTGGACTGTCCTTTCCTCTGTAAGAGGCCATGATTGTACCAGGTGACATTTAAAAGGCTCTTCCAGCTGTGAAGAAGTCCTGCAACAGTCAAGCAGAGTCCTGAAAAGGGCAGAGCTGACCTCTGGGCTCTTAACTGGGTTTCTGACAGAGGCACCAAGGGTGTGCAATGGGAAGATCCTGTGTTGAAATAACAGTGGGTGTCCTCTGAAAGGAGTGTAAGTGGCACAAGTTATCTAAATCTCTGATGATCCCAGTTCCATCCTTGGGTAGTAGCTAACACTGACACTATTCCCTAGTGTAGGAATTGGTCTCCCAGTTGTATCAAAAGGCACCCTCTAGGCCCTGCACACTGTCTCTGGGAGGAGCTAAGGGACAAGGCCAGTTTCAATTGTTCCTCATTCCATTCCTGGCAATGCTGACTTTTCTGTACCATCTAGTCTCTACAAGCCACTTAAGGACAAGATCCTTTATTTTTCTCAGCTATGTGGAATTCTGGGTTTGTAAAGCTGCTCTGGTGCTACAGGAGGATCTGTGGGTTTCTCACCAGGGCAGCAGGAAGGGCCAACCTATGCCCTTCAATTTGGGATCCTACTGCCCAAGAAAGCAGGCTGTAAGTGAATAAGAGGAATGGTAATAAGAAACAGAATTTTTCTTTTGTGGTACTAGGGACTGAACCCAGGGCACTCTACCACTGAGCTACATCCCAGCCTTTCATTTTTTGTTTTGAGACAAGGTCTTACTGAATTGCCCAGGCTGGCTTGAACCTGTGATCCACCTGCCTCAGCTTCCTGAGTAGCTGGGATTACACATATGTGCCACCAGGAGTTGAAATATTTCTGTCTTCTCTGGCTTTCCTGGCAATCAGTGAAACCAAAATCTTTTCTTGCTCTCCTAAGGGTCTCTGCTGGCTTTTTGTGATTAGTGATAAGAGATTTCATGGACTGGTCAAGGGATATTAAGGATAGAAGGTAAAAGAAAAAGACAGACTGGATTTAATTTTTCTGCTTGTCTACTTATTCCATAATTGTGGGTAATTTATTTACTCCCTCTAGGCCTCAGTTTCCTCATTTACAATGGAGACTAAAACTCCATTATACTTTCAAACTGTGGCTTTTTGGGTAGCATAGGAAACACTATGCAGGAGGGGGTAGGTGTGGTTGACGGACCTCTCAACCAGAGCAATTTTGATTTTATGGTTCACACATTTGGTGTCTCCATAACAGATTTTGTTTGGAGAAGGCTGTATTTTAACATGTYCAAAAAGCAATGAACTAGCCAGCCTACTATGTTCCTTCCTGCTCTGGGACTCTCTGTAACTCATCTTGCCAGACACACCAACAGGGCAATRCTGATGGGCTTTGGGCTTTTTGATATGCATGTGATTTTAGACTCTCAGCACTAGATGGCAGAATACCAGCAACACAGGAGTACTCCTGGCTTGACCATTAAATCAAAGGACTGAACTCTGAAGGTTCTGGCTTTACTCTGCACAATCAAGAGGAGGGGGCAAGCACTCTTTCTGCAGGAGATAAAGGCAGCACCAGAATGAAAATGTGGCAGACAATCCCACAAAACCAAATGCCAAATGTTTTCTCTGATATAAGGAGGCTAATTCTAGTGAGGATTAGACAAACTCTAGATAGGGCAAAGGGAAGGGAGGGTAGGGGGAGAGGGCATAGGGGTAAAAAAGATGGTGGAATGAGATGGACATCATTACCCTAAGTACATGTATGAAGACACGGATGGTGTGACTATACTTTATATACAACCAGAGATATGAAAACTTGTGCTCTAAATGTGTAATATAAAGTATAATGCGCCCTGCTGCATATATAACAATTTAGAATAAAAATTAAGTTTAAAAAAAAAAAAAAGAAAATGTGGCAGAGACCTGAAGACCCAATCAAAGTGATCCCCAATTCTAGCCCTAGCACTGAGGTCTAGGATCAATGTCAAGACCCCAGCCAATCCTTAAGAGGCTCCAAGCAAGAGTTTGATGATTTCCAAACAGGGCCAATGTTGCTGAGTCCTAGAATCCTATACTCTTACCTCCCAGCACCCTTAATGGAACTGTCCTGAGGTTCTTTATGTAAGATTATTCTTCAAGAAGCTCCCTAATTCTGACTTTGAAGAGGAATGAAGAGATTAACTACTACAGCCCAAAGGTCCACAGAGGATACTGTAGGCATCCAAGCTTCAGTTTTCAGGCAACACCATAGCCCCAGGACAAAGATAATGCTACTAAAATCTRCCAGTGTCTGTCTACACAAAAGGCATGAGATGCAGCCTTGGTATCTAGTGTAGGGCTAAGAGAGTTCATTGGTGTCTTTACTGATGCTATTTGAACTATGACCATAACATATAAAGAGGTCCTGGGGTCCCTCCCAGGCCTTCATGCATAGGGCTTGTAAATCCATCAGGACAGCAGAAGCAGAGGAAACAGGCTGGTGCTTTGGGAGGAGCCCAAGTTTTCCAGGGCTATGGTATAAGTTTGATGATGACTCTCCATGTGGCCTCTAATAAAGCATAATATATTCATAATATCAGCTAACATTTACATAGCACTTACTATGTGCCAGGTGTCATTCTAAGTACTAAGTTTTGTATACACACACACACATACACACTCTTCATATTCAAAATATTGCCACCATTTTATAGGTAAGGAAATCAAAGTACAGTAGAGATTAGGTAGTTTGTCACATCATTAACAAGTGGCAAAGCTAAACCGAAAACCGGGAAGACCAGACCCAGAGTCCTGGGCATCCACCTAGACTGCTTCTTAGAAAACTACAGTCTAACCATCTCAGACCTGGAAATTCAACCAGTTCCAAAATTTTCAAATACTGCTCTGTATCAGCTGTATTATAAGCATCTAACTTGAAGAAAAGGTGACTACATTCCCAGTCCTTTGTTTTATTTTGTATTTTGAGACAGGGTCTTGCTAAGGTGTTTAGGGCCATGATAGACTGCTTAAGCTGGCTTCAAACTTGCAATCCTCCTGCCTCAGCCTCCCAAGCTGCTAGAATTTCAAAAGTGCACCGCTGTGCCCAGAATCATTTCTTTCTCTTAAAAAAAAAACAAAAAACTGAGGCAGCAAGAAGCAAATTCAAGATTCTAGATATATAATTTAAATTCTTTCTTTGAACCTCAGCCTATGCAATAATAAAAATGGGTACAATACTCTTCTTATTTACTTTAGAAAATTGCTATGAGACCAGCACAGAGTAACACAAGTAAGAGAGTTTTGCAAAAGCATTGAACATTGCACAACATGTGGCCATAATATCTCTCTCCCAACTTTCCTATCATTTTGCATATATCAAGAAAGATCCAAAATAAAAATAAAAGCAAAACAACAAAATCTAGTCCTCTAGCCAGGAACCCCTCAGATGAAATGCAAGACACTTGGGTCCTGTTTCCAACTGGTTATAGACAAAGACATTCCTTTGTAAGGCTCTCCATAGAAACAGGAGCAAGTTCATTCGTCAAGAAGTCCACGAACCCTAGTAAACACCCATAGGTGTAGTAATGGTATAGCAGCCAAGGGCCAGTCCATGGAGGTGCCTTACCAGTCCTTCTGAGACACATTCTGGTTGTAAATGTGCCCACTGATGTTTCTATAAGGTGGACAGATGCATTTGCACCGGATATCTTCAGAACTCTGGAAGAGAAAACAAGTATTGGAAGGCAGGACACCTGTTTGGTTCAGATTCTAGCAAACCTGCCAAAGTTTAGTTTCCTGTTCTTCAATGTAACTGTCCATATGCTCGAGTTCAGCAAGGACTGCTTCTGTATTAAGGATGCAATATCACAGCATCCTCAAGACAGAAATTGTCCAGCCGGCAAATGAGACCCAGAAAGTAGCTGAGGTTGCCATTCCCTAACTGGGATGTGTGTTCAGGGGGCGGCAAACCAAGTGACTGTTCTGTATTCTGAAACCCACACTATGTATGTACTTCTGTCCACTAGGCTGGGTGGCCAGCCTCTTCCCCTAATCCCATCTCTAACCTCCAAGGTTAAGAATGGGGGAAAGAAAAGGGTTCACATGGGAATACTCAAACAACCTCTCTGAAAGTTCTTCCCTCTGGGACAGGTAAAAGACAGCACCACATATATTTTCACTCCAATTAGGAATTCCCTGGAGGGCACAAAAGCAAACCTGACTAAACCTTTCTTCAAAGTCTTAGTGATCACTGGAATCTCAGATTCCACAGCCTCACACCAAACCCAGCTGGGGGTCCTCTACCCCTAAGGAATGGGAGTTATCTCAAGAATCTATCATTTATGAGGGTTCCCCTTATAAAAGAAACTTCCATCTGTACAGGACTTTACACTCAGCATTTTTATATCCTTATGTGACTTGATTCTCCCTGAGTAAATATAACCACTAGTATTTCACCCAGGACAAAAGTATGGATAATTTCCCCAAACTTGCTGGAATTCCAGCACGGATCCTTCTGATCCAGAAGCTTTCTCAGTGCACTGTCCTCCCTTCTCCCCTCATCCTTTCACCCTTAGTGAAGAACTGCAGCTTTGGCCTGAGGGGACACCCCAACTATGATCCATAGAAGTGAGGGGCAGGGCYCCTGCAGCAGCCASCTCTGGAGAAACCCTGTAGGCGGGGTTGTAGTGCACGAGATGCTGTGGGTTCACCTCCCTCACCTTGTTGGCTTGAGCTGGGGGCACCAGCAAACCCCCGACCAAGACCACCAAAGACAGAAGCTTCATGCTTATCAGGCTTGCCGAACCAGCAAGACGGGACACCTGAAAAAAAAGATAGGATGGAGTCGGGAAGTGGCCACACCACAGCCAGCACTTCTGCCCCTAACCATCTCGCCAGGACACCTGAATGGGGCTGGAGACTGGGCTCCAGGATTCCCAGGCCTCTTACGCCCAGTCGCCAAACGCGGCTTTCCCTCTGTACCCAACACTCCGGCTCTCCACTGGCCACCTGGTGTGTCAGGCAACAGACCTCCTGAGGATACAGCCCTCGGGAGCCCCGGATGCTCCGTCAAGGCCGGGCTCTGACTCCGCGTCGCGACCCACCGCCCTCCGCCATCTCCGCCTCCGCCGCCCCGGCAGCTCAGGCCCGATTGGAACTCCAGGTGTAAAGTCTGGGAGCCCGGATCCGGCGGCGAAAGCCAGTGCCCTCGGCGCTCAGGAATTTGGGGCCGGGTTGGGACTCCCCCAGAGCCCCCAGTAAATCCCCACACCCCTCCCCCAACGCCGCATCCACAAACCTGCAAGCCCGCCGCAGCCGCTCCAGACCTAGTGCCCCCGCCCCTGCCCAGTTTCTATTGGCTGCCAGAGCAGCCGCTCAGCCCAGCCTCGCTATCACCAAGGTAACAAGACCCACCTTCGCCTGGGTTTGGAGACTCCAGCTCCTGGGAGAGACTTGCATTTCTCAAACTAGCCAGGAAAGGGAACGTCGGGCTTCCGTACTAGAAACCGGAAAGGGTCTTGCTTTTACGTGGTCCGTAGAAGTCTTTCCCCTAAGCGCTTCTTGTGTTATACCACTCAGATGGCTGTTTTAAAGAGAAAGCACCTTATAAACTATAGCTATAAACTAGCAATAACAGTAATGATGAACAGATTAAGAGCCCGGGTGCGATGGCCAGGCGCCTGTAATCCCAGAGTCTTCAAAGGCTGAGGCAGGAGGATCATTGCAGGTTTGAGGCCAGCCTTAGCAATTTAACGAGATCCTGTCTCAAAATAAAAAAAAWAATAATAATAATTTTTTAAAAGTGCTAGAGATGTAGCTCAGTGGTAAAGCGCCCCTGGAGACAATCCCCAATTTAAAAAAAAAAAAAAAAGATTTAAGGGGTTTTGTCCACAGTCATAAACTGGAAATGTTTTTTAGGAATCTAAGAATATGGGTATGCTAGGGAGGACATTCGCAGCACCAGCTCGTCCCTCTACACATAGACAGACAAACAGCTGCACCTGAGAGTAGAAAATGTGAGGCAGTGGCAGGGGCAGCACCCTCTCCTCCATGCAAGTTCTAGCCCTGGCAAATTGGGGCAAGGTGTGCAAGGGCAGGCTTCAGGAGTGGAGGTGGGAGTCCCAGGCTGCTGAGGGGCAAATATGAAGGAAAGAAGAGTCCAGGGCACCAGACCTGGTGTGAGGTGGCCAGGCTTCTGTTCTGGCCCTGCCGGTAAGTAGCTATGTTACACTGAAAAGACACCACCCCACTCCTCTGGGATTCAGCATTTTTAGCTGTTAGACAAGCTGTTTGCATTCTAAGATTCCCTTCACCTTTGATACCTTGGAATTTTTAAAGGGTGGATCAATATGGTTCACACTCGAGGAGCAACCATGTGGGCAGCAAGTTAATATAGAAAGTGATGTGTCATAGAAGATCAAGTATTATTTTGAGCACTATTGTGCCAGGCACTGAGCTAGGTGCTAGGGATGTAAATCCTACCCATGTTGTCATGGAACTTGAAGTTTATTAAAATTGAATTGTAATGACAACCAACAATTATAGTTGAAGGTGGAAAAACCTTTGCTGGGGAATACTGCGGAGGCAGGTGAGAAACCTAGATCAAAGGCCAGGGAGCCCTGGGTGGTGGGCTTGAGTGGGTGAAGGGCTACATAAATTGGGCCAGTGTGGTGGGCAAAATAGTGCCTCCCCCCAAAATGTCCACATGCTAATTCCTGGTACCTGTGAATATGTCATATTATGTAGCAAAAAGGGACTCTGCAGGTGTGATTAAATGAAGGTTCTTGGTATGGAGAGAGTGTCTTGGACTATCCGGATGAGCCCAGTATAACCAGATGAGTCCTTAAAAGAGGAATTTTTATGACCATTGAGTCAGGGTGATAGAAGCTGATAAAGGCAAGGAAATTGATTCTTCCTAGAATTTTTTAAAGCTTTGCAGACAACTTGATTTCAGTTCAGTTTCACTTGTATTAGACTTAGGACCTACAAAGCAATATGATCATAAATTTGTATCACTTAAGTYACAAGGTTTGTGATAATTTGTTATAAGCAGCAAAAGGAAATTAATAGTCAGGACAAGTGGGTGAGACTTGGGATAGATTCCAGGAGCAGGGTGATGGTGAGGAGGGCATGCTAGAGGAAGACAACCTAAGAAGTGCRAGCTGGCTCTGGGGAAGTGCATGTAGAAAAAGAGAAAATGGCTCAGCTTGGCTTCAACCAGCGCAAATGAACAAGAAGAGAGGGCGGGAAAATAGGCCAAACCTGCCTGACTTCAGGATCAGAATGTGAGCCAGGGAGTGGGCAGGAACCACTGGCTTGGAACTCCTGACAGGTTGGGGACAGGTAACCCTGGGAATGTACTCTCTCCAGCACAGGARACAGGCCAAATGGAGCTTTGGGACATTCTGACCTTTCCTCTAAGAACTATTAATCTTCATCCTGCCACTCACAAGTTTGGAGTTTTAAGACTGAGACGAAAATCCATTCCCCTGGCCTGTACTAGCTTTTACCCAGCAATCCCACCTTTGACCTTGTAAGGCCAAGTCTTGGCATCCATACCAGCACTGAGGGTTTGGCTTCCTATTCACTCCCTGCCACCACTCCTGATGCTCTTGGACAGCTGTCATCACCTCCAAACTGTGCTTGCTCTTCCTGGAATCAACTATATACTCCTGCTTTCCTGCTAATGCCCAGCAAACTTTATCTGTTCCGTGTTGCATAGCCTTTCACTCCTAGGAGATGATGAACTTCCTAAGTTTTGCATTAGCAATTACGCTTTAGCTATGCTAAAGGATCACCCAACCAAAACAGAGAAGAAAGCCCAAGTGGCAGAATTTGGTCATTTGTTAGAGACTCAAAGGAGCAATAACTTGAGATACTAAGAAGCCTTTGGCCTATGGGTTATAGAAAGTTACCACTCTGCCCGCAGATGGCAGATCAAGGTACCTGGGCACCTCCTTGAAATGGAATGAACATCCTCCTTGGATACCCTGAGTACATCTTGCTCTGACCAAAGCAGGGTTTCTCAGGCATCAGGGAAATGGGGCCACAGAGCTGAGGGCATCAGGGGGCCTGCTGTACAGCACCCTCTTCCAACKTGGTGATGGCCTGGACAGGCACACTTATTTTTGCCTGGAGTTCCCAAACTTGACTCCTCACAGATACACTGAGCTCCAAACATCAACTGACTAAGCAGCATTTAACCAGAACAATTATACTTTAATTAGACAAAGCTTGGAATAAAACATTCCACCCAAAGTTTTATAAATGACATAAACTCTCGCCAGTCTGCTATGCCTACGAACAGACATAAGTGAAACACACCACACATTTTAACAAGGCCCGCTTCATGCCGGGCATTCTTCCAGCAAACATTCATTCGGCACTGTGGCATGCATGGTCCTAGGCGTGGAGAGTTCCTCGCTCTGTTCTGTTTCTCTTGGCTCAACTCCTACTTCTCTGCACATGCGCTTTGGGTGTAGAGTTTGGGGAACTGCGCCAGTGTAGAAAAACAGTTCACCTTTTGGTTTTAATTTTCTTAACTGCATCAGATGTCTCAGGGATTTGTCTGTTTTTCGGCTCATGGTCGTGAGTAGAAGGCAGGATGAGGTGCTGGTAAGTCCCTGAGACAACACAGGATCAGGTTCTGGTTTGAACTGCTCCTGTCAGAGCACCAACACGTGGGGCCTCAGTTTCCCCCTGAAGACAACTGTTTAATTCTTTTTTACAACCTCAAAAATTATAGAGGACCCCCAAAGAGCTGTTTTTATTGGTCTTAACTATATTTTCATTATTAAAATTAAAAGGAAAGCCAGGTGAGGTGATGCATGCCTGTAAATCCCAGTGTCTCAGGAGGCTGAAGCAGGAGGATCGCAAGTCCGATAATAGCCTCAGCAACTTAGTGAGGCCCTAAACAACTTAGTGAGGGCTGACTTAGGATAAAAAATAAAAAAGTGGCTCAGTGGTTAAATGTCCTTGAGTTCAATGCCCAATTAAAAGAAAAAAAAAGAACAAGTTAAAAAACAAAAGGCTTATCTGAAAAATAATTTAAATTAAAAGTGAGAAATTCTAAAAATCATTTATTTGTTTAGAAATAACAATAAGTCTATTGCATACATAGATATCTTTCAATTAAAAAAAACTGTATTTTTGAAACAAAAAAACTGAATGACAAAAGGGGCATCCATTGACATTTTCTTGTAAGTCCCCTTAATGACTGTTTGAAGAGAAGATAACTGTATTCTGTCTGCTCCTGCATTCAGCTGTGGTATCACATGTCATCTAACCTTGAAAAACTCCACTGTATGCTTATAGAATGAGAATGGGAAGCCAAAACACTTCTTTTTTTTAATTGATTTTTTTAAAAAAATAAATGACAGCAGAATGCATTACAATTCTTATTGCACATATACAGCACAATTTTTCATATCTCTGGTTGTATATAAAGTATGTTCATACCAATTCATGTCTTCATACATGTACTTTGGATAATAATGTCCATCACATTTTACCATCCTTGCTAACCCCCTCCCTTCCCCTCCCACCCCTCTGCCCTATCTCTTCCTCCCATGCTCCCCACAAAACACTTCTTAATGTTGCTAGGAAAATAGTTTGACCTCATGATTTATCTGAAGAGACTCATGAGGGTCCACATTTCACAAACTACTAATTTAAAGATCATGACATTGGGCAGGCATGGTAGCACACAGCTGAAATCCCAGTGATTTGGGAGGCTGAGGCAGGCAGATAGCAAATTCAAAGTCAGCCTCAACAATTTAGAAAGGCTCCATGCAACTTAGTAAGACCCTGACTCAAAATAAACAAGGTTGGAGATGTGGCTCAGTGGTTAAGCCCCTCTGGATTCAATCTCTTGTACCAAAAAAAAAAAAAAAAAAAAAAAATCTAAGGTTTTTATAAGATCTGTCATTCTGTGGTGTTTCTGAAAATACTTTCACTTTTTGGTAGGTAGCATTTGTCAAAATAAACTTTAGGAAGTACACTCCTAGGAGTGCTATCATGGGATATTGCTGAAGGTAGGATAGAGGTGAAATGTGAATTCTATGAATAAATTCGTTTGGGAAGCCTTAGTTTAAAGTAAATCAATGGACATATTTTGCTTCAGGATTTTTTAGATGCTTCAGTGTGCTAACACATATTATGAATCTCTTAAACTTTATCATTGTGCATATTATTTGCCAATAGTTTTGACCACAAACTCCCTTTTGAAAAGCACCTCTCAAGACTAGTGCACCAGGAACCTACTT